CAGCAGGAGTCTAAAAGAGGTGACTCTTAAGGAAGCTGATAGGATCCCAAGGGAATGGAAACCTACCGATGTCAAAAAGCCCTACATGATTGTATGTTCAGAGTCCAAAAAGCTGTGGACTGGAGTTAAGAAGAAGACTATTGGAACAGCAGCAATTTTGCAGTGCTTCTATATACAGAAGAATGCAAAGTATGGAAGGATGAGGGCTGGAAGTACAGCAAAGCAGTAGACAGGGAGGGGATCCAAAGGGCACAGGCATTAGGACTGAGGTACATGAGCTCTTTTGCCACAGACACAGCTTAGCTTTCCTTACATTCAGATCCAAATAATCAACCTTGTCCCAGATGACAGCCACAGCTTCGTATCTCCACAACGCCCCAAAGCCTGGCACTTTGACAGGAGAGAAGGGGAAAATGTTGTGCCCTTTCAGATGTTTCAAGAGGCAGGTATGCAGTATCAAAGAGACATTTCTCTGCGACATCCAAACCAGCCAAATGAATATTTTCAGCGCTGACTAAGGAGATACTGCAGGAGCACTGCCACCAAAATGGACTTTTCCTTTACCTACACTATAAGCCAGAATAGCAGTGCAAAAATTGGAGAGAGCTACTGGTTTTCCCTTCAGTTCAGGAATCCCTGTATCTGAAAAAAACCTGTTGTCAGACTCTTTGACATTTATTATAGACACTCTCTAGAGTACTGTACTTTGCATTGCTCTTGGGAGGATTTTCTATCTAATGAAGCACCTCAGGTTTAGGGTCATGACAGGAAAAGGTGATTTTGCTCTGTCTAGACAAACCAACTCTGCAGTCAGAAATGTGCCTGTTCACAGCTACAACACTATTGCAAGAATCTATGCAACCTATTCTGCCGTAGGGATAAATATATCAGAATCTCTCTTCTTCCAAAATTTGAATGTTGAGCTGAATGAAATTTCTGTGACTGCACTGAAATTACAGATGTCTGCGAGAATATGGAGGGCACTGTAATTTTTTTGTACTGCCATTTCTTACTAAGACACAAATCAAAGGCTACTCTTTATTGCAACTTGGTCTACCTGTCTGAAGGAAGGACTACCCTGGCCCTTCAGACAGTGTATATTTGAGCTCAGGTTAATGATAGTACCCAGTGGAATAGAGGGGGTGTCTCCTACAATGTTAGCTAATCAGCTCCTTGAATGTCATAAAGAAAAGTATCACCAAGTTTTATGTATAACTGCAAAGCCATATTATTGAAAAGCTCTGTTATCATGAGCAGGAAGATGCACATTTTAAAGTGAATTTTCAGCTCACTATTTCTCTTTCCTGATACAACATAGAAGAAAGCAAATTTTCTCTTTTTTGGTCCTAAGTTCTTAAGAAAACTATCTGATTGTGTTAGGTACATGCTAGTTTCATGAAATCACATTCAACAGGCTCAGCACGGGAAGCATGTTACAGGAAAACAGAAGTTGGGCATAAAAAGGCTCTTTTGAAACAGCTTCTCATAATTGCAGAGGACAGTATGGAGCTGTTACTTCAAGGCTTTCTAAATCTAGCTTTGAATAATCCTGAGCATTAAACTTCTTATATTTCTCTAAAAAATTTGTCTGAAGGAGTCACAGCATTTGGAAGCTTTATGCAATACTCAATTTATATTTTTTGTTTGTTTCAGTTCATATTCATATTTATGCATCCTTACACCTCTTGCTCTCCATTATTTCTTTCTTTAATTTGTCAACAGATCCTTACAACAACCCTTTCTTCATAACGTATCTTACTCAATCTCTGTAACTGGTACCTTTATTTCAAGTTAAATCTGTTTATCTTACCCTCTACATTCCTCCCTACCTAGCCCAGTCATATCTTTTGCTCTGCTTTGATCCTCTTTAGATTTTCATGGTGTCGTGTCCAGCAGTGTACAAAGCATTTCTCATGAATTCTGAACACACAGGCTCTGGGAGGATAATCTGCCCACTTTCATCAGTGAAGCCCCTTTTCATTAATTCTGAATCTTAGTTTTCTCTTTTCTCCCCTCAGAGGTGAAGGAATTTAAGGGTTTTTTTGGAAGTATGAGGTTTCCTGAAGAAGCTGGGCTTTGTTGGCAGTCCCTGTCAGGTTCACAAAATCTCAGAATCACACGTTGTTAGACAACAGCAGCTTGAGAGGATAACTGAGCCCTAAGCAAGCATTAGTTTTGACACACAAAACTCATTCTCATTTGCTGGAAATAATATACTTTTCAAAGACACAGAGATCTCTCATTTGCTGGAAATAATATACTTTTCAAACATGTAATAATTTATGCTGTCTTCTTGTCCTTCCTCTTTGTAACAACTGACAGCATCATCCACAAAACAACAAAAGAACACAGAGGGAAAGAAGTCTGCTCAAAAAGACAGGCAGTCTGCTCTGGGTGGCAGAGATCCTCTCCAGTCAGCCTTCACAGAGGGTGAAGTTTATTCTCAATAAAAGTGGAATCAATTACAGTCTCAGTCTTTGAGCAAATCATCTATTTAGATGAGAACTGCATGCAAAGCTGAAGTGGTGCAGAGAACTTCCTTGTCTAAAGAAAGAAGCTCTTTGCTTCTTATGCCTGGAGAAACAGCACCCTATTAGTTACTGAAGTATGCAGAGTCTTTTAGGCCATAACACAGCTCAGCCTGTAGACACCCCAGGCACCTAACCAATAAATCATATCAATTTCTCAGACTGCAGATGGGTACCTGTTACATGGAATGGGATCATCACAGACCTTAAGAGGTGTGACCTTAAGTTTGCTGTGATGACTGTTTTCCTATTCCCTACAGCAAGGCCAGTGAAGACCATGCAGAAAATTACATTTGCCCATGCACCATGTTGTCTGCCAAGAGCTGCTTGGAATAAACAAGGGCAGTTTTGGTGCATGACCACATTGCTCCTTCCTGTCTCCAGGCCACAGCTGAGTAAATAGTGTTCAACATTGCATGATGAAGAAAGCAAGAAAAGAAGGAAGGTACCAGTCAGAATGGGTGAAAACTGGAATCCACAACTGCTACTTTGGTTGCTACCACAAATTACTGTATCTGAAGTTCCAGTAACAAATGAAGCAAATCACGGGGAGTTTAAATCTGACCCCACAGCACAGGGCAGGGAGCTATACACACACACTCTACCATGCACTCACAGTGCAACAAACTTGATCATACAGTGTACTTAAGGATAGAGAGACTGATTGCAATTTGCATGTTAACCATGTTCATATACAGTCAAACCTAACATTTTGCTCTTCTATTGCAAAGTAGCTAATAAATTCCAGAGTGATTTTAAAACACCAGTATGCTAAGAAGGAGCTGGGAGGCTCCATAGAGTAAGTACAGAAAGCTGAAGTGGGATGGCTAGAGTTGCAGAGGAAGTACTTTACTTGTTGATTCAGAATTTTTGCTGTACTTGTCTTCACCAGCCTGTACTGCCACTGCTACCATGTCACTAGCAAAATCCAGACTCTTCTCTACAAATCTCACTCCTGCCTGAGGCAGACTCTTCCTCATGTTTCAGAGGCATAGAGGAGATAGATGTTGTCCATGTGGTACAGTCTTAGGCAGCAAATTCTTGAATTAAAACAGCCTACCTTTGACAAATATGAGGACAGCTGCTTTGTATTTCCCTGCCTTTTAAAACATTGTTTTTACCAGCTTTATTTCTGGTTTGTATGTGGCTCACTGGTGGCACCTGACATGAAGTGATGCAAACCCTAGGAATACTAAATGATGTGTTTATGCTGCTGTCAGTGTCTTGAGTGAAGTGTAGTAGACACACCTGAACTATCTTTCTGCTAGTTATCTTTCATACAACAGAAGCCTAGCCACAGAAGCCTGGTACTCAGTGAAGGCTGCAAAATCTACTCTGGAAGCAAATAAATATTTAGGACTTAGCCTGAATTGCAGTCATTGCTGCTACATCTAGGTAGCTATCTACAATCCTCTCACAACACTGTAACAGCTATAAATATGCCCAAAACAGCACGGGAGTATTTACTGCAGTTAGTATATGAATTCTGCCCCAAAAAGTCACATTAGTAACTTCCCAGAAACACAAGGAATGCCTTGATGAATATATATTAAAGTTCCCTATCCCCATCCTCTTTTATGTACAAGCACTAAGCAGGCTGGAGCGCCTGGGTAATGTAGCCTTCCCCTTCGGATTATAGTAGGACACACAATTTCCACAGGTTGCTTTCCTACCACAGTCATGAAGTCATTCAAGAGTTATAAAATCACAGAGTTTTAAATCAGTCTCCTGGAGATATAGCAGAG